GGCCGAACCGGGATCATATATACATGGGTTGGGTCCGACACGAGCCATTCAAGCGTCCTGCGTCCTGCGTGAAGATAAGAGAAGGTTTCAGCTCTCGACGTTTCCCTGAATGGCAAGCTCCTGGCGAGTGGCCAGTCCAAGCCTCGGAGAGACTACGCACGTCTCAAGACGCTCGTAGAGTCCGCTGAACACTGCACTCTGGATCTGTCGATGCACCACTTTGCTTATCAAGCTCGCGTTGAGGCGTTCCGGTCCCTTGTGTTCTCCCCTTTCATCTCATCTGCTGCACGGGTAGCCGACTTGAAGCCTCAGGGGAAGACTTACTGAATGTGAGAAAATGTGAGGGGACAACCAGCCTGCAAAGCACGATGCAGCTGCACGTCGAATCTGGAGTTTTGTGGGGTTCCGTGCCCTCGAACCCCTGTCGACATTGCAAAATATGCAGCCGAGCTTCCTGAGACCTGTCTCAGGCTCGGTTCGCCAAGCAGGAAGGGAGCTGTTGCGCCGCATGCTCAGCCTCTGCTCACGTCAAAGCTTGTTGCGTCTGACCCCATGTGGAGCATCGCGAGGCCGGTAGTAGTTTGGGATTTTGACAACCGGAGTCGGTACATCGACTTCCATGGTCACGGGCCTCGCGTTTCCTATCAACGTAACATGCAACTGTAGTCGTGCTGTCGCCGAGGTCTAGCACACTCAGTCCTTTGCGCTTGTGGCTTAGACTTGAGGCCACTGGCAAGTTTGAAGACTGCATGGTGACAAGGTCAAGTTTTCGCCGGATGGACGCTTCCTTGTTGCAGCGGGTGCCAACCAGATGCATCTTGCCTGGCAGTGATTCGTGTAGGGGCTCTGCGCAACAGCAGCTTGGTTAGGCTGTATGTCTGGGATGCCAGGAACTCGGGCCTTTCAAGAATTCTTATGTGTGCTGAGAGCGCATAGCAAAGCACAGTTTCGTGGCAGGTCTCAACCGGAGAAGTTGTCTACAATCGCAGGCTGGGGCTGGGACGCAGGTCTGTTTCTTGCGTTCTCAGAAGCGCATTCGTGCGTAGGACAGAGAGCCCGTGCTTCCTTGGTGTTTGGGGTCCCATTCTGGAAACTGGGTGCTGGCCTGAAATCGCAGCAGTAGCATGCCACACGAAGCAGCATTACGTCAGCTTGCGGTGAGAATGTAAGTGTACTCGCACCACTGCGTCGCAGAAAGCGGACGCTTTAGCCGGGCGGCACTGTGCACTGCTTCCGAAGGCCAAGTGGTTTGATCCAGAGGTATCCAGAGATGAGGCTTCTCGAGCCGTTTCGACGGACAAAAAGTCCAGGAATGCTCGCATCGGTTTATCATCCGGTCGGTCAGTTTCTGGGAATCGCTACTGGGGCCCAGGACAACGCGGCTCACGGACGGGGAGGTTTTTGAAACTGTAAGCCGCATTGACAGAACATGCTGCCGAAACCTCCCGATGACCGTCAGAATTTCTGTCATACAGGGGCCTCGGGTTCCCAACGCTTAGAGAAAGCTGAGCTGTAAAGCGGGTTGGCTCTTGTTTGCAGCGATTTCTTCTACCGTTTTAAAAAATGTAGTTTGTTCTTCTAGCTTAGTCGAGGGCACGAAAACCATGTCGTTTGTGCACCCCCGCGCACGATCATGACCGCTCGTCGGTGCTGGCTGTCCCGTTCGCCGCCCCTTGCCATCTCATCATGATCAATTAGCCGCGCAGGTTAGATTGAGTCACTTATCCACAGGGTTGATCCGGGAAGCAGCAACTTGGCATTGCTGTTGAGTGCATCACCGAGGCGATATCCGTCCTATCAGTCCAAGCCCAAGTTGGCACCTGTCCTTGGAAGAGATGCTTGTTGCAGTAAGGCGCTAGAAGCTTGGTAATGCTGGTTGACTTTCAACTTTCCAACTTTCCCAGGCTTTGCACGACCTACGACAGCCAAGTTCTGTACCATCTCATGAGCTTCGACATGCGGCCTGGAAGCTGAGAGCAATGCGGTGCAAGTGGGTCGTGCCAGACGTCAGACATCATGAGCTTTCAAACTGGCCGAAGGTCCATGTCGTATTCACTTGGCAGTGATGCCATGCAGCCAGACGCCAAGACAATGAATCTTGACTTCGTCCCCTTGAAGCCACGAAACTCTGAGATTTCCTCCTTCTGGCCTGCAGCGGAAACACATCTGCGGCCTGGTGGTCGCAGATTTCCTGATAACAGGCATCGTCAACGCAGCATCAGTGACCATGCGTAATCTTTGCACCTGTTCGTGCATCGAGATGGTCCAGGTACATCTGCCGGAGATATGTGTGTGTTCAGCTTGAAGACGAAGGACTGCTCCGGAAGCCGAAGATTGTATCTGCCCATTGACAGCATCGGAGGTTTTCCGCACGGCCCTTCCCATTTGCAACAACGGCGGACCACTCAGACTGTTGCTGATTGTCTGCGTCACGGATGCATGGCGCCCACTGGGCTGAGGTGTTACAGGGATAGCGCAGATCCTCGGCAGTATTTTCATGCTAGCATGCTGGGCGTGATCTCTGCCAAAATTAGAGGGATCTCAAAGGTGCTTTCGACTTTGGGTGCCTCAGGTATGGAGACTTCCTCTTCGTGGCACGATACTAAGATCTTAAGAATCTTAAGATCACCGAAGTGTGAGGAGAACTCAGAGCCCAGGCTGGCGGCGACGGTCGGGTCAAAGCCGTTCGTGGCTTTGACACGCACTGGGACGTCCTGGACTTAAGCCTCTGCTTGTGACAGCTGCAGTGGAGCTTGGTGGGCTTGGGAGTCGGTGCACGTAGCGCCGTAGCATCGCTCACCTCGAGCTGACGGCCTCAGCAGGTCCTCGCAGAGAACGTGCTAGAAGCCGGAGTGACGGTCATGCCCTAGTTTTTTCACAAAGCAGCAGTTATCTCGTTCTCAAGCTTGCCGTGTATCTCCTCAGGCACTGACGCCTTCGGCTGATGGTGCAGAACTAACTGCTGGTACAAGGCCCGTGCTTCTGCCGCTGGCGGGGTTCTGTCCAGGCAGTGAATACACGACGCAGGAATGGCAAGATGTGGAGACTTCTGTCCTCGGATCTAACAGCCACCTTGCAAAGCGCCTCGCACACTGGCGAGGCCTGCTGCACTGCGTTCTACAGGTGTTTTGGTACAGTACATACTACATTCAGCCACTATCACGGACCAACATCCGTTACACCAACTTGTTAGACCACGTCATGACAGCAGCACAGCCCACCCCAACGAAATTCGAGTTGGTGCCGCTTGCAATTGCAACTCGTAGCTACGTGTAATTTACCGAGGCAGACGCGAAGTGCAACAAGTGTCCTGTTAACATGGTTCTTCCAACGCTCCACTCCGTGGTATTCATGCCTGCACCTGGGTGCAGGTGACAGATATTTCGTTTGGAGCGAAAAGCGATGTGGTGTGCACCACATCGGACACCGGTGAGGCCAGCTGGCATCAAGTTCTAAGATCCGTCGCACTGCTTAAACAAAGAGGTCTTCCTCCTGGACCTTTCGGACTACATGCCCGTCACTTCGGCCCTGGCGAAGTCACCGGTTCGAAGTGCCGTCGTGCCTTACCGTTCAGCTCAAGTTGAAGACACTGTGGGAAGAATTCTCCACAAGGTCATTGCCAGCAATGGAGAGATCCTTGCTGGTTATGTTGCATGGCTTCAATCAGATCAATATCAGATCAGTTTGATACATGTTATCATTCGACGTCGGCCGCCCAATGCACCACGTACGCCAGGACGATGGCTTCCTGCGTGCCTGGTCTGCCGATAAGGGCAGCAGCAGACTACTGTGGCAGGTGAACTGTCATAGGCGGGACACAGGCTCAAAACTTATTGAAGAGGGACCGTCGAAGCAGGCAAGGGGTGACAGTGGTGCGGGAGTCTGCCAACTTCATCGTGACCGGTGGTGGAGACAGTGCCGTGCGCAGATGGCTTACCGCAGATACAAATCGTCTTGGCATTCAGCGCATCTACGATTCTGCACAGTCTGCAGCTTGCCCCGTGGGTCAGGCTTCTGGCAGCGAAGTTCGAGGGAACTCCTATCGTCGGAGACTCACTGTCGGCATGATCATCAAAGGTCCAATCAGATACGAGAACAATTGCAACCCAGGTCTTTCCAAAACCACCGCAAGCCAGTAGCTGATCTCGTTTTAGACGAGGCTCGTTGGTTACGGACATGTTGTCTTCGGAAACTTCGGAGTCCGTTTCAAAGTGGATGGCCTCCATTTCCTGCTTGGTTGATAGCTTCGCTGCATGTTGTGGTAGCCCAGCGCCTTCAAAGCTTCGCAGCTGTTTTGGCCTTGCGGCCCTGCGCTGCCCACATGACTTTGGTTAATGACGACTTTGCTACTCTTGGCGTTCTTCTGGTTGGCTGTTAGGACTTTAACTTTTGGGGCTTCTTTTTTGGGTTTCTATATGAACAGTAATAAGTAGGCTCAAAGTTTAACTTTTAGGAGGAGTTCAGAAATCGGCCAAGTACTGACAGCACAATTTCGCGTTCGCCGCGGCGAGGGCTTCTCCCACTAGTATTGTGACTGCAGTCACGACCACCGCCACCACCACCAGCACCGCCACCACCACCAGCACCGCGACCGCCACCACGACCACGACGACCGCGACGACCACAACGACGACTACTGCAACTACGACTGCTGCTGGTATTACTATTGTACTACTGATACTACTGCTGCACCAGCAGCTGCTGCTCGAGCCTTCCAAATGAAATTTGTTTTGCAAATCCTTGCCCAAACCACCGCCAAAAGAAAGCAGCATGCGTTGATCTAGCAAACATTGGAACGATTGAGCAGGACAAACTGTGGCAACGACACGTCTAGCCTCAGAGCAGATCTTCGCCCTCCGTCTGGTGGCTTTCCTCCGGCTCCTTGCGGGGGCCGATGCCTTGATGCCTGCTGGGTGTCCTCGATCGACTCCCTCTGCCGAGTTCGGTTGGTCCATGCTGCTCTCTGCCTCATTGGCAGTGGTGGGACCCTTTCGGACAGCAGCACCTTGGCCAACGGCTGCCGATCCATTCTGGCCGCTCTCAGTCGTAGCCCGATCGCTTTCCCGCTCATGTTGTCGCAAAGTCCCATGAGCATTCCCCAGGCCTGCGACGCCATCGGGTCCCGAAGTCCCACCGACAGTAAGAATGTCACAGTCTCGCCTTCATGCTGAGCCACCATCCGGCGGGTGGAGTGGAATCGCTTCAGTGCCGTCGGGCTTACGAAGTTGGATCAGACTGACGAATCCTCTCCCCCAGCCCTCCGCCGTGGTGTCCTCCAAGGCGCACGTTCGCTGCAGCCAGACCTCCAAGAGTCCCAAGAAGAGAGCAATCCGGAGCGAGCAGTCCACCTCATTCTTTTCCTTGTGCTCTTTCCAGCGAGCCGCTAGAGCATACAGTTTGTTCAACACCGCTCCCTCGTGAGTTTCCAGAGTCAAAGCGAAATCCCTCTCCACTCGCGCCGCGATAGCTCGTCCTCGTGCTGAAGACACATGCTCAGCAAGCGAAGATTCTCTTCGATCACCTGGGAATGCCATACTCCACCGCCTGTCGACGATTTTGCTGGGCCATCTGCCACCGTTTCCCCAGGTTCGGCGATTGGGTGGCTGTCCGTCCACGATTTTGTGGGGCCTGCTTCTCTCGATCCTGGGTCGCACAGGCAACCGCCGCCGCCGCCGTTGCCGTGAGGGGATCCTCCTTCTCCTTCTCTTAGCCACCTCCTGGTCCTGCAGTGGCCCCGCTCCTTTCGAGGTGGGCCGCTGCCTTCGGTTCGTGCTCCGTGGCCTTTGCTGACTCGGCCTCCTCCACCGGTCCACCTTCCCCATATCACGTCACGATGCCTGGGTATTTAAACCTGCTTAACCGCCGGGACAACATACGTGCAAAGGCCATAGGCGAAACGAAATGCGTGCCTGCCGGCCACTTGTACCGACCTCTGCTTCAGACGGTTGATCTTCATCCCATACTGCGTATATATTTCCAAGAGAGTCAGGGGAAAAACGAACAGGAGTAGAATGTAGTAGAATGACGTCTCACGAGCACAAATCCCAGGCACACTGTCCGGCAAAGGTGGCCCGGTGGCCTAGCGCCAAGCTTGTCCTGGCAAAGGTGGCTACCAGCCCTGGAATTGCGCCGTGTAGCTTCCTACTGCGAAGACACGCAAATTGGGGGGAAGACCCCAGCACAGACGAGTCTTAAGAACTCTGGAAATGGCCTTGCCCGCAGCGTCCTGAATTCCTAGAAGTCTTAGAGACTCAGGTCGTTTGATGGTTTTACCCGGTTTAGGGATAAGGGCAAAACAGCAATCGGACCGTCTATGCGGGAAATCAGCCATGGTCTCAGAATGAAAGGCCTCAATCAACGGCCCAGCCATCGCCTAGCGACTAAACTGTCGAGGGAGGACAAAGAGAGCAAGACCTCCTCCTCCCTCATGATCACAGGTTCCAGCCTGGGCTCAGGGTCAACGGTGCGCAACAGCTGGCTGAAAAGGTCCCGAAAATAAATGGAGATCTCCGCGTGCTCCTGTTCCGGGGTCAGCATCTCGCTTGTCTTCGATCTAACGCGGATGTTGCCACCCTGCATTTTCGGAGCCGCGCACCTCACCGCCTGATAGAGCATGCGCGCGCCACGTTGCTGTCCAGCTTCGCCTGTAGGATTTGCCGTCGGGGCCACAGACCTCGACGCTCGAGTTCGCGATGGCTCTGCTGAAGCGATGGGCCTTGACCGCCTGAAAGACATGGGGCAAAGAGTACACGCGAAACCGCGCATTATGGCTGACTCTTTGCATGAGACGGCGCGGTCGCCGCACTTGGCGTCGACGTGCTCCCTCACATACACCGATTGTACCTGCTGGGAAGCTGCTGGGCATGTGTTCAGAGGTGAGGCTTGTTGATGACACCGAGCTGGCGGAAACCATTATCGCAGAAGATTCATTAGGCTGCTTCGAAGAAGCGATCGAGCACTTCGGAGGACGTCTCCGTAAGCAACTCACCGCGAAGAGGTACCCCCGCAGTCCCGCAGGTCAGGAAAGGGTTGCAGTCCGGATCCGTATCTGCGTGCAATTCCATCTTGTGGAGCGAGGTACAAAGACCGGACGCGTCGGAAGTTTTGTGGCTTCCATGGATTGCTGGTCTTAGCGCCCAAAACTTGAGGGTCGAGGCCCCTGCCCTGGAGGGTACCGGTTGGCAGCTGGTCGACAGCGCGTGGGTCAACAATGGGGGGACCTTGCAAGACGATTTTCAAGCGTGGCATCCAGCAGTCCCCGTTGGAGGAGAAGTTGCGTTCGACCCAGGCGGCAAAAGAGATTAAGCAGGCTTTGACGCAGCGCAAGACCCAGGATGTTGGAGGAGCCGGCTGCATCTCGGGCTGATGTGCGCTGACACCGCTAAGGCGTAGCCACCCCCAAATCTGCGTGCAACCTTGGAAGATGTAATTGTACACGCGGGGATATCGGCGCCTCCAGTCCAGATGCAAGAGGAGCGGGAGCGCCGGCGCCCAGCACTTAGCACATCCCACATCCAGTGCCCAGCACCAGCATCACGTCTTTCTTTGGGGTTCATCCTCATAAAAAACTTTGCTCATGATACCGGACGGCACATCCCAGCCCGTATTGCTCCCATTCCACCAGCTGCCTGAATCACAGGATCCTCGTGATTCTTGTATTCGCAGCCCATACACGTCTTGGCGAACTGGCGGGACTCAAAGCCGGCCTGTTCCGTGAATGCTTCCTTCTGCAGTGTTTCCTAGGTGCACAGAGGGCAGAAGAATGTCGTAACCCATAGTCCCAGCCCAGCCCGGGATTCTTTGAAATTGTGAGGGTTATACTAATCCAAGCAAAAAGTCCGGGTCCGGACCCGGCCCATGAGGGCTGTTAGTATAAGATGAAATGATGTCCTGCTTCCCTGAGTAAGCACATTGATAAGGAATTCTTGTTTTGGAATCGAAGCCCCATCTCGAAATTGTTGTTGCGAGACCCAGACCTTCCCAGCTGCAGCACCGGATCCAGCACCCTTCCTGTTAACCCAACCCATAATCCCGGCCGAGCCCGGGATCTGCTCCAGTTGTGAGGGGTTTTATGAATCCCAAGACTCCGGGCCGACCCAGCCCGTAAGGGGTGGTACAAGTTGGAAGGATTTCCTGTGATTTTTGGGCCGAGGCCCCAATCTCGAAATTGCTTGCCAAACCCAAAACCCCCCAACTGCAGTCCCGGATCCAGCTCCTTCCTGCTGATAGGAAATCGTTTGCCGAGACCCCAAACTCGAAAATGCATGCATCCAGACTCAACCAATTACCAGTAATGTCAGTAATGTAGTTGCAGTAAAGCTTGCAGTTCCAAGTTCCAAGCGTCTAAGAGGACTCCAAATGAAGTGGAAAGGTAAGGCTTAAGCTTCTAATAAGATTGTATTAGTATGCTGCTTCAACACCAGTATACCACATGATCATGATTTGGTATGCAAATGGACGGGCTGTTTCAACACCTATCTAGCAGCATTCACAAACTCATCACAGAGCACCAAGAAAACTACCGAGCGTTCGCTGTCCTCGAAAAACAGCTGTTCTTTGAGAAGGTTTTCACGACATGTCAATTATCGGACAACGTCCTTGTACACTTGCTGGCATGTCCGATCCCACAACCTCCCAGTAACACCACGAGGATTCGTGATAGCCAAGCTAAGCATTTAGCCTTCTTTAGCTGCGGCTCTGACGACTGTGTAAAAGAAAACTTTCAAAGTCTCAATGATTTTGGCTGCTTCAGACGACCGACATTTAGATAACAGACAAATGTTCCTTTTCAACCAGTTCAATACGTGTATTTTAGTTTTGCGAAGTGTCATGTTAAAGACAACAACCTTCGTAGAGGCCGAGGACTTGTTTTTTTGCTGCAGTTAAAGCCTTCTTAAAGGCTTAGAACTTGGTACTGCAAGCTTTAATTCCAGCAACTACAGCATTCTTAGAAGCTGAAGGCTGACTATTGTGCTGCAACTGGAGCCCTTTTGGAAGTTCAGTACAGCCCTCTTATTACTGCAAGCTTTGCTGCAACTACAGCCTTCTTCAAGGCTTATAAAACACATTACTTTATTGCAACTACTGCCCTGTTAGAGGTTTAGTTCGAGCTGCCAGGATTGCTGCAACTGCATCCTTCGTAGGGGCGTACGACGAACTACTTCACCGAAACCACAGCCCTCCTAGAGGCTTGATTAGAACTGCAAGTCTTGCTGCAACCACGCCTTCAAAAACCCTAAGACGTTCTACTTTCCTGCAACACAGCCCTTTTAGAGCTTCAGTTTCAATTGCAAGCTTTGCTGCGACTGAAGCGCTTTAAAAGGCTGAATTACATCCTACTACTTTGTTGCAAATACAGCCCTCTTAAAGGCTTTCTCAGAACTGCAAGTTTTGCTGTTTCGTACCTACAATCACGGGCATAACATAACATGCCATCGCGAAAGTTCCGCGATGGGTCTGCTAAAGAGAATTATTTTTTTGCGAAAGTCATTGTGTTAGCCTATTTGCCCACTATTACGATTACTACTACTACTACTACTACCACCACCACGACGACGACGACTACTACTACTACTACTTCGTCTACTATCACTATGCTACTCGTATTACCACTACTACCACCATTACTACTATACGACTAGTATTATAGTACGAATAGCAATAACTGCACTAATACTTGTACTTGTATTTGTACGAGCACTAGTACCAGTACTGGCACTGCTCCTGCTATTGCTACTGTTACTGCTACTCCTTTAGCACGACATTTCTGTTTCAAACGAATCACGCAGCAGGCTCCAGGCAGATGCCAAAATGCGGTATGGCTAGTGCGTGTAGCGCGGCAGATCCGTTAAAGTTCCGCGCGAGTCGCGTGAAAGTCGAGGTTGCCATATCAAGCCAACGGCCCATTGCTATTTCTATGGCTACTACTGGCACATACCACGGCTAGCGCTAGCATTCGCAGTGGCACTAGCACTAGTACTACAGCAGGGAGCATGGACCTTGTGGGCACGTTCCATATAGAACTCTGGTATATGTGTCAATATACTTGAATATGTGTCCGCGACGGGCGCGCGAAAGTCAGGGCGAAAGTTACGCTAAAGAAAATTATATTTTCGTGAAGAAGCCCAATTCGGGGATATGTTAATTTAGATCAATGCCCACCTAAGTCATCGGATGCGGTGGGGCAACAGCCGGCTAATTCAGGAGGCTGTAGAGATCCTTGTCAGAAGGCTTTGGGACGGAATGCTCTTTAATCGGCAATTATGGCTTTGGGGTGGCGACTCCTGGAACATTGAAACGGACTCGCTTCCTAATTGCACAGGTTGCTGACAGAGTGCTTAGACACGATGCAGCGGCAATGACATTTAGCGTCCTTGTCGGGGTTTGGCTCGCCTCGATATTATTCTGGCCTCCATAGTGCAATTCTCTGCCAGAGAGAAACTGGAGTGAAAGTATTCCTTGGCCCCAGAGACCGTGCTGAGGCCTTAAACAGGCCTCTGCAAGTGTGAATACACGGAAGACATACAAAGCGAGGAGGAAGTACCGCTCCCCATATTTTCGGCACTGCATGTTGACTGCATGCTTGCCTCCGAAGGTGAGTCCACATGTGGTTCACTCTGGAAGCGAGGACAAACTGGTTGTGACGTATGCGAAGCCCTCGACATTTCAATGCTCGAGTTTCCGATCCTGCGAAGTTGGCAAGACATTCCCAAGGACCTCAAACAGAACAAGGCACTCGTCCAACACACATCGCCGCTCAGCTGCAGAAGACTCCGTCATTGATTGAAGGACCAGAAGAGAATCTTTCAATCTGCTGCGAAGGAACTTGTCCATAGTACTTGTGCAGGTTGTCCAAAGCCTAATGAGATGGGGATGTTCTTTCGATGGGAAAGATGTCGATGTCTTCCGTCGCCGTGGGTGGAAGTGCTCTTGCCGGGGAGAACCTCAGTGCTATAGTTTAAGACTGTTTAAGGCTGTCTTCCACGACGACATTCAACAAAGAACCATGAACTAACTTTCTTATTCTTCCAGTGCATGTGCATAGTGTCTAATATTGTCTATTCTGTTTCCAATATGTACCGATGCTGTTTCCCTGCATCTTGAATTTCAGCGCTCGTTCTAGTTCCTAGACTCTTAGGCTTGGACTGCCACAAAAGCACCAATGGGCTCTTCCGAGGAGAGGAAATGCTCTTCAAGGGGTTTCCGGGGACATGTAGCAGCAGCTGGACCCAGTCCCGAAGCATCGAAGGCCGCACCAACCAAAATTTCGAAGCAGATCAGCAGTGGGTGCAGAGAGCAGTGAGGTTCGTCGAAAGTAGGCAAGCATCGGACATGCCTGTATGCCCAAGCCTTCAGCAGTGCCAAATTCCCCGAGGACCCGCTGTAAGGGCAACAAACATGCAACAAAAACAGGTTAGATCAATACAACATGTCTAAGGCTGGGTGGAAACATCACAAACCTGTCGCAGCGCAAAGACCGCGACAACGAGGCACTCGGCACAGAGCATTCCAACACAGTGCTACCAAGCTTCGTGAGGTGGTAAGTTGTGCGCAAGATGGGAAGCTCCTGTTCTGGGACGTGGACTATCCTGATCCAACAGGCTGATGCCAGTGGCTAGAGGACGAAGAGGATTCTGCAGAGCGTTGAAATGGACAGGCTGCATTGACAGCCCAACGGGGATGCCGCTCCGACTGCCACGCCTTCAGAATCAGACAGAGAACGTTTGCTGCTGCGTGTCCACGGCTTGACCAGCACGATGTCATAGGTATAGGGCATAGCGGTTGTTTTCGATTATCCGGACAATCCTGCAACTCTGTGCGGCTATCTCTGCTTCGTGAGTTCCTAGGGGTTTCGACGAGCAAACAAAGTGAATAAGCCGGTAAGTAATCAGTGAAAGTATAGATGAACCTGCAAACAGATCAGGTACAAGCACGAATGTTATCGAAAGCTTTGAGCAGTCAGTGAGCAGGTCAGGGTGTGTCTACATCTGTGGTCATCTGTGTACACGCCCCTTACCCATTCGCTCATGCACGTACATGCGCTTGATTGCACATGCACATGCACGCATGCATACATAATTTCTTACATGCGGTACTTACACACAGACATGCATACATTGTCATGTGTGTAATATTAGATAATCAAGGATACATACATCCATGCATGCATGCACATACATGCATGCACACGTGAATCCATCCATCCCTACATACGCGCATACATACGTACGTACATACTTGCACACATCCATCCATCCTTCCTTCCTGCCTTCCTTCCTTCTTTTCTTCCACTCATCCGCACATGCATGCACACGCATGAATCGCACGCACACACACAGACACACACACACACACACAGACGCACAGACGCACAGACACACAGACACACAGACACACACACACACACACAAAGACACACACACACACACCCACACACGCACGCACGCACGCACGCACGCACGCACGCACGCACATGCATGCATGCAT